GCAAGTACCAAGACGATGGATAGATGCGACTCCTCAAGCTGTGGAAGTTCAGGAAGAAGTCCATTCAGTCTTTTACACTATTGGGCCAACTCCACAACAGGAACAGCCCAAGATGAGTCCCCTCAAGAAAAAGCAAGTCCTTCCTAGAGGACTCCAAGCCCTCCTGATCCTTCTCTCCTTTGTTCCACCATGAACTACCTGAGCCTTCTCAGTCCCAAACTGAATGCAGCAACCGGCAAAGAACGTCTGGACCACCCTGACCAAAACCACTGACACAGACACAATGTGCATTTTCTTTGACAGCGTGAGGAAAACCTTTTTAAAAGCTGTCTCGTTACTATACCCGACTGGAACAGGTTTATCCAGAACACTTCCCTTATAGATAATTTCCCTCCTTCTTCAAACACTATTTCCCAACTTCTCCTACATCAGGGAGCCCTAAACACTGATCCCCAAGAATTAAATCTTTTAGGCTCATTTGTACCTACCACTTGCTTTAGATTTAAACCCACTACTAATTGCCTTACTCTAAAATCTAACCTATCCCCCGACTCTATACTAACACCACCACATGCTGGAAGAACTCCCAACCTTATCCTCTTCCTACTGAAAGTTTCTCTCGACCCACTAACCTGCCTTCCATCTACTTTATCACCATAAACCAAGACAAAAGGTTTTTCAGGTCTCTTGGGTTGGTTTTGCCTTCCTTCCCTTTCTGATTGGGTCAACAAGGTTGCTAAAGGAATCATTTTCTTTCTAATTATCACTTTCCCTATCCTTGTTTTCCTTCCCTGTCTAATTTTTTGTGTTAAGAAATCCATGACTAAAAGTTTTTCCCAAGTTTTCACAGCCCTGAAAAACAAGAGAGGGGGAGATGTAGGAGGTGGGACCAGCAGAAGCCTGCAGAGAATAGAGTTTCTAGCAACAACAGCTGCCCGGAATTGCCTGAGAGCTACAAGGGGTCAGACCAGCCCCAGCCTTACAGACCTCTGCAGGTGAAGGAAGAAGGGTTAACTGAAGCATCTCGCTGCAGGGGCCCACTGTTCTCCCCCCCCCTTTCTCTGCCTTGCTCAAAGGAGATCTTGTTCTGTACCCAAAATATTTACAGATACATAGAACAAAGAACCCAGCGCCCATAAATCTCATCCAGAGGAGCCAAGGTGACATCTCAATAGGTGTTACAGGCCCCAAGCCAAGGCTTTCTTGAAGCCTCAGTGATCAGAACACAGAAACAATAGAAAGAACGAAAGGTCCCCGAGGTGAGGTGAGGATGAGGATTAAAAAAGCAACCCCCAGGATGAAGGCAAACAGGATCTCCCACCATAATATTCCTCAAAATGGAAACCACGCCTCCATCTCCGCCCCTAACTCCACCTGTTATGAATATTGTAATCTACGTTGTAATCATTGCCAAACCTGTATAAAATACTCACTCTAACCCAACCAACTCGGAGCCTGTTTTTCCCAGCACGAGCTGGCAGGCTGCCCAGCCGTTAATCAATAAATACCTCGCTGTTCTAGGCATAAAACTCTGTCTAAACAGTTTTTATCTGCTTTTTTGGGGCATCAATTTGGCGACCCTGATGGGACTTCTATCCCTCGGCTGTGAAATCCATCGAAGGTCAGGACCCCACCCCAGGCGCGACTGTCTTCTTGGTTAATAAACTGCCATTTTGGGGGTCACATCTTTTGTGTGTGTGTGCCCGTCCCCCAATGCAAAATGCGCCCGGAGGTCTTCCCGCAGGTCCCCCCCAAAACCTGCTAGAGATGGCGCCCAACGTGGGGCAGAATCCACCCTTCTTCCATTAAGAAAGGTCTCTGTTCACTGGAGCTACTGGCGGATTGTGTTTCTGGAGCTCAGTCTGCCCCTAAGACCTCACTCACTCCAGCTTTTCGTGAACGGCCCGTTCACACAGTCCCCTCCGTCCAGCTACGTGGGACATCGGTCCCGGGACAGCCAGCGCCCAACACAGAGACGTCGCGCCCGCTGGGACCCCCCGCCCCGCAGCTGTGACCCCGCTTCAGGACCTGAGCGGTGCTTGGAGCACCTGGGGGATAGCGAGTGAGTACCCAACCCCCCCTTTTTACCCTAAAAAATGGGAAACGAGCTCTCCGATACGGAAAAGACAAAACGGAGTTTCAAACTTTTCTCCCCGCAATTAAAAAACGAGCAGAAAAAAACACAACGGGAGAAATCGGAGCCACAAGAAGCTCAAATCCTGATTCCCCCCCCCCCGCACTGCCCGGCCAGCTCAGCCAGAGCAGAAGCTGCTCTGCCATCACCCCTCCCCCCGCCCCGCAGAGCCGGGACCGGCGCCGGGATCAGACCTGCAGGTCCCCCCCAAAACCTGCTAGAGGACACCTGTGGGGACACACAGGGGACATGGGACAGACTGTCTGCGGCCTCCTGCACGTGGGGCACCTGGGACAGGGACAGGGGACATGGGACAACCTCCCTTACCTGGGTGCTCAGGGTCTGCACGTCGTGCTCGAAGGTTCGGTGACACTGTACCAGCCCTAGGTCCCTGTCCCCCCTATCCCCCCTGTCCCTGTGTCCCTCTCCCATCCCTGTGCCCCCCATCCCCCCTGTCCCTGTCCCCACGTCCCTCACCTGTGCGCTCAGGGCCTGCACATTGTGCTCGAAGGCGGTGACACTGTACCACCCCTGGATCCCTGTCCCCCCCATCCCCCTGTCC